GTTACACCGGTGTCGTTTGAACCCTCCTCTATATATATAGTGTTGGGACCAGAAGTCCATGTACACTTACTGTAAGTTGATGAATTATTGAAACACAGGAAAAAAAAATATACCACAACTTCTTAGGTGTCGAATCATAAACCATTATGAGGTAATAAGTAAAAATAAAAAATAAAAAAAAAAACTTATCCTGTTATATATGCCTTACATTATGACCTCGGTCGTGCCTCACCTAAGTTAATAAAATCATAGCATTTTGTGCAACTAAACATGGGAATACAAAGTCATACACCCTTTGAGGCAATGCTAATTAGTAATTCTTATTTATATATATCCATGAATCGGAGAAATTAAATGCGTTGAAAAAAAGGCAAGGAAATAAGTATTCAACATTAACAAAAATAAGTAATGATGGAAACCAGAGAAACACTTTTAAAACACTACTAGAAATATAGTATTTTCCTACAAAATTTTATGCAAAAAAATATTTGCATGAAATTACTACGAAAATTTCTACCAAAAAAGAATTTTCAGAAATTGTTATGAGTATTTTTGTGATTTTAAGTTCGCTGAAAATTCTTACAAAATTTTCTACCAAAATTATTAATTTTATAAATTATTTTGCCAATAAAAATTTCTAGAAAAAATCGCAGGAATTTCTTCAACATTAACAAAAATAAGTAATGATGGAAACCAGAGAAACACTTTTAAAACACTACTAGAAATATAGTATTTTCCTACAAAATTTTATGCAAAAAAATATTTGCATGAAATTACTACGAGAAGAAAACAGAATAGCATTGTTCTGTTCCTAGAGGAATAAACATTAAAATCCTACCTTGTATATAACAAGTAGGTAACTTACATAACAATTCAATGCTGAAAAAAATAAATAAATTTTATATGCATTAGGAGATAAGTTTTCTGGAATAATGCAAACTGCTAACAGTCAAAAATCAGCATATTAATAGCATTTACTTATAGCAATTTGACAGTAAATTCATATGGCAGTGAGAAAGAAGCATATTAACCACTAACAGTCAAAAATCAGCATTGTCATTTCAGTCAAAGCCACGCCTTTACACATTAATAGATAGATCATGACCACAGTATCATACTCACCCTCTTCAGAGAATTTTCAACCCAGTACTTATTAGGCTTTGGAAACCTTAGTCTGCCCGCCTTTCATTACAGAAATCACATCACCGTCCTAGAAAATTGACATAAACGATAATCCATTCTATTAACATCATTGAACAGACAAAAAAAATGCAAGAACTATCATCATGTATTATATCCGTTTTGTTTAAAAATGCTAAATGAGGAGATGAATCAACAATACAAATTCAAAAGCAAGACACCATGAAATTTCACGTTAATGAAATTTATGAGTTCTGTATCACTTCATCCCTACACAGAAGAAGAATAGCCACTTCATAAGTTCCAAGAGATTTAAAAATTTGAGAGCTGAGCATATCTGAATATGAACCGCATCTAGCATACATATAAACTAAAAACAGATAATTAAGGAACAAACATAGCATCCTTAAATCAGTTATTGTTGAAAATGAAGGGTGTTGCGTGTAACCAACTAAAAAATGTGAGAGATGGGAACTAGAATGTTAATGTGTGTTATAAGATTCTATTCGGATATAAGTTTATAAATAGTTTTGCTAACTTCTCTGTCGAAAAGTATTTTTTATTATCTATGGAAAAGTTCTCAAACAATTGATAATGATTAAAATTTGTCAAACATTATGTGTCACTGTTTACAGATTGGAAAGCTGAAATTGATGTCTAGAAGTGAATAAACATGCAAAATCTACAGAAGAGGAGAAAAATCTTCCATTAACAATGCCAAAATCAATTACTCATTAACTGTAGAATCAATCTCCTTTGTATTATCAGTTGCATGCTCATTCAAAACATTCCTTGACCTGAAAATTAGTAAAGTAAAAAGGTGTAACTTTTACTAAGTGTTACACCGCTCAATAACTTTATATTAAATGTGAATTTTGTAAATCCAACCGTTAGATTGAAAGTTCATATCTCTTAGATCATATATGTCAAATTTTGTTAAAATTGAACAACAACTTGAAGGTAATCAAAGTGTTCATATTTTAGTATATTTTGAAATGTATATATTACGTCAATTTTGTTTTACGAGAATGAAGTATCAAATCTTTTTAGATTAATATAAAATTTGATATATATGATCTAAGAGATATGAACTTTCAATCTAACGGTTGGATTTACAAACTTTACATTTAATATAAAGTTATTGAGCAGTGTAACACTTAGTTAAAGTTACACCGATGTCGTTTGAACCCTCCTCTTAAAGTTACACCGGTGTCGTTTGAACCCTCCTCTATATATATAGTGTTGGGACCAGAAGTCCATGTACACTTACTGTAAGTTGATGAATTATTGAAACACAGGAAAAAAAAATATACCACAACTTCTTAGGTGTCGAATCATAAACCATTATGAGGTAATAAGTAAAAATAAAAAATAAAAAAAAAAACTTATCCTGTTATATATGCCTTACATTATGACCTCGGTCGTGCCTCACCTAAGTTAATAAAATCATAGCATTTTGTGCAACTAAACATGGGAATACAAAGTCATACACCCTTTGAGGCAATGCTAATTAGTAATTCTTATTTATATATATCCATGAATCGGAGAAATTAAATGCGTTGAAAAAAAGGCAAGGAAATAAGTATTCAACATTAACAAAAATAAGTAATGATGGAAACCAGAGAAACACTTTTAAAACACTACTAGAAATATAGTATTTTCCTACAAAATTTTATGCAAAAAAATATTTGCATGAAATTACTACGAAAATTTCTACCAAAAAAGAATTTTCAGAAATTGTTATGAGTATTTTTGTGATTTTAAGTTCGCTGAAAATGTCCGACAGACAAACATACGCACATCACAACATTCACAAATCATGTACACTCTCCTTTTTTTTTCTTCCCTTTTTTCTTTTAATCAATAAACTTTCACATAATAGTTAAATAATTGTCAGACACGACAGGGCTCCTTTGCCAACTGACGGGTGTACAGTCGACTGTGCAATGACTCTCCTTTGCGAGAAGTAGCGTCATTCATCCAGCTCAAAAGTATACCTTATAACTCCATCTTCTTCATCTAGTCATGTTAATGGAGACAATAAGTTCGCTGAAAATTCTTACAAAATTTTCTACCAAAATTATTAATTTTATAAATTATTTTGCCAATAAAAATTTCTAGAAAAAATCGCAGGAATTTCCTTCAAATTTTATTTAGAATATAAATTTGCAAGAACTGTTAAATTTTTAAGTAATGTCAAAATATGTTTTCTGTAATTTTTCTTATAAATTAAATTAGCAGGAAAATATATTTAATTTAATTTATTTATTTATAGTTTTTTTTATTAATTTAAAAACTAAAAAAAACTCATTTTAGTATGAAACCCACAAAAAATCCACCCACAAGAAACGCACGCACAACATGTTGTGTTTATTCAAAATCAATTTCAGTCCTCCTATGCAATCCACCGCACCGTACCCACCGCATATTAAAAAGTTTTAGTTGTGTTAATCCACCGCACCGTACCCACCGCCTATGAAACGCATCATACCCACAGCTTAGAGAAACACGAGAAACCCACCGCACCACACTGCATACAAATCCACCACGTAGAGAAACTCATTCCTCCGTCACTTCTTAAGATCGTTCCTCCGTCACCTTTTAGATCGCATCGCACCAGTGACTTGCTCAAGTAAATATAATGATTTTCTTTTGATTTTGCGGTGATTTATTTACTCTTTTCGTGCTTCTTCGTTGTAATTTGTAATTTATCTTATTTCGAATTCTATGTATCTTCATAGGTTAAAGAAGAAGACAAACTCTCCTTTTGTTTTGTCTCTCATTTTCCTAATTTATCTTTTGTTTTGTAATTTGTAATTTGTTTTTATCTTATTTTCCTTTTACCAAGATTTTGGTTGTTTTACTCTGTGTAGTGTAATTGATTTTTTACTTTACTAATTTTCAGGTCAAGGAATGTTTTGAATGAGCATGCAACTGATAATACAAAGGAGATTGATTCTACAGTTAATGAGTAATTGATTTTGGCATTGTTAATGGAAGATTTTTCTCCTCTTCTGTAGATTTTGCATGTTTATTCACTTCTAGACATCAATTTCAGCTTTCCAATCTGTAAACAGTGACACATAATGTTTGATAAATTTTAATCATTGTCAATTGTTTGAGAACTTTTCCATAGATAATAAAAAATACTTTTCGACAGAGAAGTTAGCAAAACTATTTATAAACTTATATCCGAATAGAATCTTATAACACACATTAACATTCTAGTTCCCATCTCTCACATTTTTTAGTTGGTTACACGCAACACCCTTCATTTTCAACAATAACTGATTTAAGGATGCTATGTTTGTTCCTTAATTATCTGTTTTTAGTTTATATGTATGCTAGATGCGGTTCATATTCAGATATGCTCAGCTCTGAAATTTTTAAATCTCTTGGAACTTATGAAGTGGCTATTCTTCTTCTGTGTAGGGATGAAGTGATACAGAACTCATAAATTTCATTAACGTGAAATTTCATGGTGTCTTGCTTTTGAATTTGTATTGTTGATTCATCTCCTCATTTAGCATTTTTAAACAAAACGGATATAATACATGATGATAGTTCTTGCATTTTTTTTGTCTGTTCAATGATGTTAATAGAATGGATTATCGTTTATGTCAATTTTCTAGGACGGTGATGTGATTTCTGTAATGAAAGGCGGGCAGACTAAGGTTTCCAAAGCCTAATAAGTACTGGGTTGAAAATTCTCTGAAGAGGGTGAGTATGATACTGTGGTCATGATCTATCTATTAATGTGTAAAGGTGTGGCTTTGACTGAAATGACAATGCTGATTTTTGACTGTTAGTGGTTAATATGCTTCTTTCTCACTGCCATATGAATTTACTGTCAAATTGCTATAAGTAAATGCTATTAATATGCTGATTTTTGACTGTTAGCAGTTTGCATTATTCCAGAAAACTTATCTCCTAATGCATATAAAATTTATTTATTTTTTTCAGCATTGAATTGTTATGTAAGTTACCTACTTGTTATATACAAGGTAGGATTTTAATGTTTATTCCTCTAGGAACAGAACAATGCTATTCTGTTTTCTTCTGTATTCTGATTTATTTTGTTTTACTCAGTATGTGCCTAAGGATAATGGATCACGGATGTCCCTCCTTCATACCACTTCTCTTTTAAACGTGTTTTTGCCTAAGGATTCTGTCCGACAGACAAACATACGCACATCACAACATTCACAAATCATGTACACTCTCCTTTTTTTTTCTTCCCTTTTTTCTTTTAATCAATAAACTTTCACATAATAGTTAAATAATTGTCAGACACGACAGGGCTCCTTTGCCAACTGACGGGTGTACAGTCGACTGTGCAATGACTCTCCTTTGCGAGAAGGAGCGTCATTCACCTTTCAATCTTTAGGAAAGGAGTATTCATCTAATTTTAGTCCCTCCAGTACGGGGGAATTTGGAGGGGAAGAAGAGGTATAAACCATTATAAAATATTACTTGCGATTTTTCCTAGAAAATTTACTTGCGAATTTGAAATTTTGCAAATGACTCTCCTTTGCGAGAAGTAGCGTCATTCATCCAGCTCAAAAGTATACCTTATAACTCCATCTTCTTCATCTAGTCATGTTAATGGAGACAATAATGGAAACAAAATCTTGATACTCCCAGAAGGGGATGGGTGAGTCATTTTAATTTATTGGCATATGATATGAATTTTTGTTTGATATTTTAATTAATTATCATTTTTTATTATTTTACATAGGTTTGATCAACACAAGTTGGTAATTGGGGCACTTGCTTCAATCATACGAAGTAACTTGGGGGAGGCAAAACCATCATGGAAGAAGCTATCTATCGGTCAAAGGGATTCGTGGTTTGATATGCTTCAAGTAATCAAACTTTAAACTTTTATTAAAAAGATTCCATTTTGAATATTTGCCTAATAATTTTTTTTCATTTTTATCAAAACCAATGTAGTCAAAATTTACATGGCCACCTGAATATAATGACATGGTGCGACGTAATTTTGAGAAAAGAGGTGCAGCTAAAATGTCTCAATTAATGCAAGAAGTTCGAAAGGATTTAGAGAGAAAACCAATTTGGATAGGAGAAGATGTATGGGCACACTTGAAGGAACACTGGAGATCCTTACGTTTTAAGAAAAAGTCAGAAGTAAATAAAAGAAATCGTGAATCTGTGAATGGTGCATCTCTTCATACCGGTGGATCAATTCCTCACCGTTTGCATTGGAAAAGAATGGTATTATTAATTTATTGTTTTTTTTTATAATTTAGTTCTTGAAATTAATGTCACTAAATCTTTTTTTTTTTTT